AGTATCCCTCCATGGGGAATGTGCTCCCAAAGTCCTTTTGTGCACCAGGGATACATCCTGGTTCCACTATCAGAGGTCCCTTAGACTGCCCAGGCTTTTAACTGAAACCCACATTCAGGGGATCTGAGTCAGCCCATTGCTGCTTTCCCAGCTATCAGTCTGGGGGCGTCCATGAGCTCTCCCTTGTTCAGGTCAGGTCTCTGGGGGTTTCTGTAGCCTGGTCTTGACCCCATTTTCTTATCACTCCTCCTTCTCTGCAACTGGATTCCAGGATTTCAGCTCAGTGTTTAGATGTGGGTATCTGCCTCTGTTTCCTTCAGCTACTAGATAAGGGTTCCATGATGGCACATAAGTTAGTTATCAATCTCATTTTCAGGGAAAGCATTTAAGGTAGCCTTTCCACTGTTGCTCAGATTGTTAGTTGGGGTCTTATCATTATTATAGACACTGTTATAAACTTTGCAAGGTTGTGGATTGGATTGGATTTCATATACTGCTGTGGTGCTTCATCACCTTTTCAGTAATGCCCAAACTTCTCACTAGGGTCTCTATGGCCCAGCCTCCTCTGTCTTCAGCCACTGTTTTAATCCCATCCAAAGCCTATTTCTGCCTTACCTGTCTCAAGCCAGACCTGTGGCTGCCTATGCATCAGAGTACTCCCTGTGCTCTCCCTCTCTCACTGCCTAGGATGCTTCTTAGTCCTACTTGCACTTTTCCCTGATTATCCACCAAGTCTTAGCTCAGACAATACATCTTGATTGAGTTATTTGTTAGTCATTATAAAGTCTTTATAAAGTGATTTTTTGCACAATATTTCCATACAGTAGTTGTATGTTATAGGCACTTAACATTATCTCTTTCATGTCCTTATATATCTGTAGTGTCCCTCCACTATTCTGACTGTAAGTTTCATGAAAGCAGAGTGACTTTCCTTCTGATCATATCTTTAGAATACAGTAGCATTTATGAAATCTGATCGGCATTCTAGAACTATCTGATGAGTAGACAAGTTGATAAACAGTATTTTCATAGATAAATTTGATGTAGAAACTCCAGTTAGAAGGTGAAACAATTTTATCTTCATAGAGGTACAAAATGAGCAGATAACATTGGGTGTTTGTCTCTAAGGGAAATAAGAACATTGAGTTATAACCTGATCTTGGAAGAAGCAGAGAAGAGATCTAGGAAAGACAGTAATCAGAGATGAATAGAGTAGACTCTGAGCCCACACTTTCATGAATGCAAAGGAGAAAGAGAGGAAGGAGAAACAGAAATGAAAGCCAGTCGGGAAGGGAAGTTGGCACAGCCCAAAACATCAAGGTCCAAGAAAAATGAGCAATAAGAAAAGTCTAATGTAATTTGAAGATGGATGTTTCTAATAGACCATTTCAGTAGATGAAATTGTCACAGCTAAACAAAGATATGAAAAGCCTGGGCGTTAATGAGAATAGGAAAACAAATAGAAAACAGAGGAGACGATGAAGAACTTATGATTAAATTTACTGTTATTCAGACTCTTTCCCTTGGTTCTATTAACTCTATTGCTTGTTTCTATTATACCTAGTAAATAATAATCCCTGATAACAATGGCTATACTGCTAGATTTTTATTTCTATATGGAAATTGAGTAGGAGATGATCTGTTAAGTAGTTAGGCACCAGTAAAACTGTTATAAATTTACCTGTTGCTTTAACAACAAATGAAATTGAGATGGCAATAAAATAGTCACATTCATTTAAAAATAGATTTTAAAATTAATAAAATTCTGGACTAGGGTGCTAGAAAGAAAGCTTCAAGGACAAAATGCCTCAACAATGTACAGGATTATGGTAGTGAAGAGAGGAAGATGTTTACTCAGAGGGAAGCAGTGGAGACAATGGGAGCCTAGAATATGTTTCTATGTCCGGCCTTGATTTATGCCTCATTCACTGCCACATCAGTTTGAGGCTTTCTAAACACACCGATTCATGAGGCACCCCAGAACTCCAGAATTAAAATATCTTGTATTTCACACACTCTTAGGTATCCTCAAGCATAGGAGCTTCATCCAGTGGGACTTTATACTGCCCCTCCTCTGGGTTCACAGCCTTGTCTATGGGTCTGCCTTGGCCTCTGTGTGGGGTGCTTTAGGAATGAGGCTGTGGGAAGACCTTAGATTTGTGAGGGTAGATGCTTAAATAAACTGTTTAGTGGCTTCTTTTCTAGAAAAAATAAACCATAAACTTAGAAAAAACTTATGTTAGACATTAATACGTAATTAGATTTATAAAATAAAATAAATCATTGGTTTCTAAAAGACAATATTATAAAAACTAAAATAGAATTATTTATAATCAACTGTACCATATAAATAGTACAGTTTCTGGTCACATAGTTTTCAAATGCCTTTTATTTGACAACTGTTTACCACTGGAATTTTGCATATAGATAGTAGGAAGATAATTGTTTCCCATGACAGTTTTGACAGGAAATTTTAATTATTGAGGTTGTGCTGTGCAAAGCTTACAATTCTACATAAGACCATCTATTGTATATAACCTGTAGAGACTAGTGTTCTAATTAATTCTGTTTTCTGAAAAAAAAAAGAAAAATAGAGTATTTGTGAACATATGGAGCAAATTGAGTATTTTCATGAGAGTAGAGAATTTTTGTTTTGACTAGGTATCCATCCATGAAAATTGAGCTGTAGATTTAAATTTTAACTCACATGAAAATTTCCTGTTGATTCTGGCATACCTCTTCTTTACTCTCTGCATATTTATGGGGCTGCCCACTGTGGTTCACTTTACCCACAGTGTGTCCTTTTGGTCCAATACTGGCATGTCCCCATGTTCAATGACTTGATGCCATGGGTTGAAAGAAACGTCCCTGAACCACACTCCAACAGCAGTAGAGCCATTGGTGATGTACCTGTATGGATGCTGCAAGCTATGCAAATATATTCCATACCACCCCCATCTGTTTGCACTTAGTTCAGTTTCCTCTTAATTGATCTCCAAGGTACCTGTAAGTCCCCTAAAGCCCCAATGTAAAGTGAAACCAGAGTAGAGAAAGGCAGTGTCTAATGAATTCCATTGACAGAATCCACAATGTTCAGCTCCATAGAAATATTTGATTGTGTTCTCACAGTATTGGGGCCTTTTCCAGATTGTTCAAAGGAGCTTGTCCCAGTGAGGACTTTGAACTTCAACTTCAGTCATTGGATCGTAATTATTTTTCTAAGAAGGAATAAGAAGACAGATTTCAGTTTGTCTTTCCTGTTTGTTTCTTTTTGTTTGTTTGTTTGTTTGTTTTTTTAGCAATTAAATATATTTAGATTGTTGATGAGAAACAAATATCCTCAGCCTATATGAGTTCCCACATGATACAGGGTTACTCATATGAGTGACAGTAGTACCTTATGTTTGCCTGGTAAATCCTTCCACTATAATCTTGCCCAGGAATTTCTTCCCTGCCTTTCCTGCTCTTGATTCATTTTACAGAGTTGGAAACTGAAGAAATTGGGGTATGGTGGGAATAAAAGACCCTGTACCAATCAGAGAAGACCATTAAACCATACAGCAAAATATTTAACTATTAACCCTATGATTGAACAAAAAAAATCACTGAATTCAGGCTTGTTCCTTATAGGTTAGCCTATGGTGTTACTGGTTACTGAGTACAAAATATGTTATTGTTACTTAAACAGATGCCTTTAAAAATAATACAACTGACTCTGATGTGTATGCTCATAACTGAGAATTTCTCTTCAAAGTCATCACTGTCTTCTGTCAGCTTACAACTATGTATTGAAAAAAATCTTGATATCAGTTCTTCACTCTCATAAGTTTATTGAGCATTGTTTTTCCAACAAATGATCATTTTATGCCTAAATAAACAGTAATACTCTTGGTTGTGGTGACTCACAGAGGAACAGCAGAAGTGAGATGACAGTGTCATTAGTTTCTCAGCACTTTCTTCCATATATCCCTTTAATCAGAACTGCAAGATTCATATGCCAAGAGTCTTATGTCACTCATCTTCCTGATGTCCCAGAAGTCTTATAGTGAGCTAAAGAGGGTTAATGTCTTTAACCCTCACTCAGATGTTTTAGAAAATTAGAACATTGAAATCAAGGACCTCATAAATTTGACTCTAAGACTCTGTAAACGTTTTCCTTACTTTATAGAATGATTAAATGGAAAATATAGTCTCATTTCCTTCAGGCTTCCAGAGCATTCTTTCTACTTCTGGTAGATCTTCATTTGTAAAATTACCAGTGAGTGATGGCTCTGTTGTGGCCCTATTCCCCACAATATTCTGTGATCTATAGGAGAGTTAATCAGGAGCTTAGTGGTAGAATCACAGTCATAGTACAGAATTAGTCTTTGGCTGGCAATGCAAGTGCAGTGGAAATTAACACACACTAGAGAAGGGTATAGTCACTGTTCTTGTTGAAGTTTTAGTAGTCATCTGGAGTTCTGTCTACAAGACTCTTTTTAACTTTGAACAGAGAAAAGGTCTAAGTGTCAGCTATTACAGGCAAATTTGTTGCATTTGAGCCCCCCCCTTTTTTTGAGCCTTCTTGTTTTTAACACTTAAAGTAAATTGCCTGAGTAATAATTTTTATGGTACACCTATGTGGTATTGGGGTTAATTTATTAGCTCAGACTAATTCTACATTGTACCCCAGAACTTTGGTGACCCTCTGAATATCTCCTTCAAAACACAGTTGGGATTCTAAGAGTTCTTTTAAAAATGGCTTTCGGGGCATCCTTCCTTTCAAAGACATGTATGGGTGTCTTATACACACACCAGTAAAGACGGTTGCATCAAATAAGGGGACCAGATTGAGAACCCAGTAGAGCCAGTTTTGTTCAGAGGAAACACACTTTTAAAGTTGTCAGAAAGTTGGGAATGTACAACCAGCAGCCAGCCATATCTCTTCATCAATTGATTCCCCTGCTTTTTGCTTCTCTCTCTCAGCTGTTTAATGCTTCTGTGTGGCTGGTTTGTTTCAGATGCCTCAGGAACAGTACTCTCACCACAGGAGCACCATGCCCAGCTCAGAGGGGCCACACATATACAAAGTGGGGATTTATGGCTGGAGAAAAAGATGCCTGTATTTCTTTGTCCTGCTCCTCATGATTTTAATTCTGGTGAACTTGGCCATGACCATCTGGATTCTCAAAGTCATGAACTTCACAATTGTAAGTAAAACCGTATAAATGCATTATCTCTCACTGAAGAAGAGGGAAGCATGGAGCAAGAGAGCCAAGGGATGTGAAAAAGTTGTGCCCTGTGATCTGGCATTTGAGCTCAAATGAATTTCTGTTTAGGTTGAGTGTGAATAGCAACTTCTGTCTAACCTCAGTCCCTCTTGGGCTGAGAATCCAAATTTGGAGTAATTTCTGTTAAGGTGTCTTGTATGCCTTCCCTCCATCGTGATAATGTTTCTGCATCCTATAGTATTTGACCACGTAAGGAAGTAACTCAGAAGGAAATAAAGGATAAAGTGAAAGTATTTGTTTTCACCAATTTTAGGAGCAATTTAATCTGGAAAGAGTTTAAATCATCTGGCAATATATATGTAAATGTATAAGTGCAGTTGAGCTTTGAAATTATCTCAGAATGATAGCAGGCAAATTATACCTGTTTGTCCATCACTGTGGCTCAGTGAAAATCTTTAGTTTGGGGACAAAAATCTTCTCTGCTATTGCATGGGTCAGATGGAATTGACAGGAAACCAACTGTATTTTCTGGTTTTGTTTTGTTATTCCTCTAAAGGGATATGTGTGTTTTGATAAAACCCTTGTTTCTGGTGCTCAGAGTATTGTATAGATCAGGCACTGACTTGTTGGAAAGTCAGTGAAAAGAAGACTGTTGCAAAGTAACGTGTGTATTCTGAAGTCTTTTTTATTTAGTGATTTGAGTCTGTAGAATCAATATAATTAACTTACTAATGAGAAGGTCACAGATGCTAATCTGCCACCCTGGGAATACGTTTTCTCTTTTTGATGTCAAAAGTTAATGGACAGGCAATTAAACAACTCTTTATCGATAATAAAATGAAGTCATAATGAAGTTGAAATAGTGAGGTTTTCCTGTGACAATCCCAGATGTGGATATTGGTATTTGTGGTATTTTTGAATCACAAAATTCATTTTTGTACTTGGCTTGCTCAGGCTGCTAGTGATCTGTTTTTTCCTCCATCTACCCTATATGGAGATGGCACACCTTTGTGCTTTGTGGATGTTTTTATGCATCTCATGTTATATTTACCTCTCCAGAGGAAAAGTGTTCACATGTGTTAGTTTTTATGTGTACTTTCTCTGTATGTCTTTGTCTATCACTCATAGTGGTGTTTGCTAGTGGTGGGGTTAAGTGTGGTGTCTAAAACCAAGGCTAGAGATACTGATGCAGGCTTAAGAATGGACCAGCTTTCATTATCCATTGTTAAAATTTAGAAAAATATAATGAAAAGTTGCCCTAGTATTCTATAGCTCTATCTTGTTTCAGTTACTTCATAGAATACAGAATAGCCTCTTGCATTCCAACATCAATTTTGTAATTCAGAATTGGTACATTTCATGTGGCTGCTGTGAGTCCCAGGTCATCCATTCCAGACTGTTGGAACACACTATAATCTGTTTATATATGACACTCAATACATACATTTTGGAGTTTGGTGTTCTTTATGTACATGCAAGGTTTAGAGAAATGTTTAAGTAATGAGAATAGCACAACTAGGTTCTATCTAGAGGTTGCAAGTGAGGCTATGACGGAATAGTGAAAGTTTCTAGCAAATTATGTGTGAGAGGTGTCCTTTACTCCATTTGGTTTGGTTTGAAGTCCAGGTGATTACAATTGACCTTTATTGTCCTGCGTATTCCATAGTGTTTTATTGTTTTGGGGTTTTTGTTTTGTTTTAAGACAGGTTTTTCTGTATTGCTCTGGAGCCTTCTTGGAACTAGTTCTGTATACCAGGCTGGTCTTGAACTCACCGAGATCTACCTGCCTCTGCCTCTCAAGTGCTGGGACTAAAAGCATGTGTCACCAAATGCCTGGATCCACAAGTATTCTTAAATTTAACTTGTGAAAATGTATAATCTAAAATAGTGTTTACATGAGAAGACAAGCACTTAGACATAGTATAGAGAGTAATAACTCAAAGACATTTAAAGTGTAGAATTTATAAACCTTCCTACTAGTTGATATGTCAGGGTTGAGGGGTATAAAGATAGTTTTGAAGAATTTCTGTTTGTGGCTAATAAGAGAGTTAGGTGATTGGGCTATGAAAGCATGCTAGAGTTTGTGACATTTCCAGTGGAACTTAGCTGAGGAACTGAGTCCCTTCTATGCTTCTGGAGGTTAACCTCTCTATTCCCCCATTTTTGTGATTTTTTTTTATCTGGTCTGACATGTACTTCTAAAATGGGAGAGATTTATGGATTGGGGTGGCAAGTAATAGCTCAAACTTTGATAACATCAATATTAAGCAAATATGACTTTGTAGAGTATACTTCATGTGACTAGATTCATAGAAGTGAATACAGTTATATAGAGAACACCCTGGGTACATGTGAGCTTGGAGAACAGCGTGACATTAAGGTAATAATCTATATGAAATCAACTATTTCCCGTAGTTAACTAAATTGAGTGACACATTTCAGAGTCCTTAAAGCTTCACCACACCAAGTACTTACAGCAGTGAGAATAATGCCACTATTAGTCATAATTGGTGCTTTATAGCAGTAATGCGTTTGAGCAAATAGAACTCAAGTATTAGAAAATTGGTCTTGCCCTGCAAGTTAAAAGTATATTTTCTCCATCAGTAACAGCACAAAACATATTATTGTAGAATTACAATTTTATGGCACAAATAATAATTTACTGACAATGAAGATCTTGCAAAAGTAAAACGAGGCATTAATCAAAGTTCTACTGGAAAATGGGAGCTGAGAGAACAGGAGGATCAATGAGGTGACAGTGTATCATTTTATGAAGAGCTTATAAAACTTATCAATCAAAAAGAGAGCTTGTTTTGTATGCTTGAATTGTTTGAAAATTGGGGGTTTGGGAAATTCTGCAATTATAATCAAACCCCCAGAATACAACAAACTGAGAGGCTGGTGTCATTTCGAAGGACTTGGCAGTTTATCCAACATTGAACACTGGATGTTTGATTTGGTGTCTGAGTTGTGTTCCGCTGAATCTAGGATGCAAGGTCTGTGGAAGAGCTGCTACTATAACAGCCTAAACTCACAAATGAGTTTTCCCTGTTTAGAAATAAATCCAAAGATAAATGATTTTGCTTCCCTCCAATTGTGGCACAATACACTAGTGCCTATGACTGGACTGGTCAAGAGAGTTGGGCTCCGATTCTCAGTTTCCTCTACTTGGAAAGTACTCACTTTCCTGATATTAATACCCTCAGAAATTAGACTCCCATCATTAAGTACACTGGGCTGTAAAAGGAAACTGGTACTTCTAGGGTCTACTCTGTTCTAGGCACCACTCACAATACTTAACATTTTTGCAGTAAATTTCCAAAATAATTACATAAAATGAAATAGTTTTAATCATTTGTAATTAAAAATAACCTTCAATCCTTAGTAATGAAAAAGAACGCATGCATCAGAGAAGTTAAATGACTCAGTGAAAGATGTATGGCTAGTGAGTCCCAAAGGGGTGTTTGACCTCAAAGCCCACCATATAGTACCTATTCCCCCAACTTGCTTTGTGATAGAGCTCTTGAGTAAAATTCTGGATCTTTGGAACTGGCTCCTTAATCTTTGTTCTCTTTCTGGTGTCACAATTTCCTTTGCCATCTAATGTATCCTGTGACATTTTCTGCTTAGAGTTGGCTGTTGGTAACATTTGCTCTTTGCTTCACAAGATTGTCAATGGGCAGTGGATGACCGTCTCTGGGCACTGCCCTTGCTCTTACTCACCTCGTGCTGAAGTGACCATCTAGTTGCCATATGTTAACGTGATGGTCCTGTTCTCATGCAGCAGCATCTGTCACAAAAGAAGGCTCAATGCTGACAAGAGAATGTCACAAAAGGCTCCACACAATAGTGTAGTTGTTGAGGTTTCAGGCTCTGGAAGCAAACATTCTAATTATAGTTCTTGCTTCTACCACTTGTCATGTGGCCCTTTATAAATTCCAAAACTTGTCTGTGCTGCCATTTCCCAGAGGTCACACCAGGACATACCTCACAGAATTGTTGTAAATGTTAAAGAAGTTAGTCTGTAGAGTTCAGCCTGACAGAGAAAGTACTTTATGTATGTGTTTCATACCATTAGCATAGTTTTGTTTTGTTTTGCAGGCTCTATCTATCCCATGGTACTACTGTCATTTGCAAAAAGAACCTAACTCATAAGCTATAACCTATCCAATTTATACTGTCTCGATTTCTTTTGTCAACTTGGCATAAGCCAGGGTCATCTGGGAAAAATGAACTCCAGTTGAGAAAATGCCTCTATTAAATTGGCCCAAAACAAGCTTGTGTGGGTATTCTGTCCATTTATGACTAATGTGAGAGATTTGGCCCACTATGGATAGTGCCAGCCCTGACCATGTGGTCCTGCCTTGTATAAAGAAAGAAGATGGAACAGGCCACTGATAGAAAACCCTTTCTTGAGTTCTTGCTTTAGGTCCTTGCCTAACTTCTCTTACTGATGGACTGTGAGGTAGAAGTATAAGATAAATACATAAACAGACAGAATGCCTATTTCCCCAGTTGGCTTTTGATAGCAACAAAGAGCAAATAAGTACATAGATTATCACAAACTTTAAAAAAGTAGAGAGAGATGCAGTAACTTGGTTTTAGATGGCAGGCTAGTGATGTGAATGTAAGCTTATTGACTGCAGTTCCTGGTCTGTTAGTGAGTTTGATATACTGGGGAGCAACAAAGAAAACCCCAGTGTAAGAGTCAGAGATTGATGACTAGCCATGCTCAATGTAACCTTTCTCCTCAGAACTCAGGAGGTAGCTAAGTGTGTGTCTTCCCAGGCAGATTCCTGCTTGGGCATTTCAATTTTGTATTTTGTTCCTTGCCTTCCATGTGAAATGTCACTCTGTGGAATACTCTTACTTCTGCCAACACATTTTAGAAGCCATTTCCTAAGATCGTAGTTTTGAAGACCTTCCAAATAGTATAGTATTGATCATCTATTCTATACACCGTCTCTGAGCATAGTGCT